CTGGTCCCACCTGGAGCCTTGGCTCCCCTCCTCCCAATGGTGTGGTCTTGGGCCCTCCCTGGGCCTCAGTTTGCCCCTCTGTAAAATGGGCTTCCCCAACAGGGTTTGTGTGGGAATGAAATGAGTTGAGGCCAGCAAAGTTCTGAGCTGGAGGTGCGTGGTATGGGGTATGTGCCCCTTAGATGGGAGATGGCATTGCCATGATTTCCTCAGTGCCTGGTGTGTGCTCAGCACTGCTCTAGGCACCAGGGGATTAATGGTGAAGGAAGCGACAATAAATACATATTATGACTATTATAGGTGCTGAGTTCTGGCTCATCTTCCCAGCCCTTGATCCCAGCTCCCCATCCTTTTTGGTCTACTTGGTCCCACCCCCTTGGACAAGGGGTGGACCCTCGACTCAAGGGGAAGCCAATCACAGGCCAAGTGGGCCAGCCAGGTTCTTGCCGGGAGCCGATCCATCCTTGCTGTTTCAAGGGACCTGGCATATATGGCATACTGTTCTTAATATATTTGCTCACCTTCTTGGCACTATGTTTTAACCAAGGTCACCTCTCTGAGAAAGGTTGTTTCCCCAGGTAGGGATTTTCCCCTGAAGTCAGGGAGGGAATAAAACCTCTTAACTAAGTGCCAGGCGGGTAATTAATCTCTTTAACTACAAACAATCATGCTTAAGCTACATAATCTTTACTCCCTGGAATGGAGTAGAACACGGCAAGAGAACCTGACTAGAATCTGGTGACTGAACCTGGCTGGAGAACCTAGCAAGAGAACATGGACACAGAACCTGGCTGAAGAACCCAGCTACAGAACCTGGCGACCGAACCTGGCTGGAGAACCTAGTGAGAGAACATGGCTACAGAACCTGGCTGGAGAACCTGGAGAACGTGGCTGGAGAACCTAGCAAGAGAACATGGACACAGAACCTGGCTGGAGATTGTGGCTAGAGATCCTGGCAAGGCTGCTGATCAACTGAACGCTGTCTCCGTGTCATTCCTTCTTCGCCGACTCTGTCCACACCTTTGGGGACCCCTGGACCTGCTGGGGTTGGATCCCAGCAGGTTCTCTCTCAGTCTGTCTGTCTGCCTGTCTGTTCAGCTCCTTTTCTTTTTATCTCCGCATCCTGGGAGAGGAGATTCAGATTATGCAGAGAAGCCTGGGCTCCCACGCTATTTAGTGTCCTGATGGGAATCCCAGGCCCGGGAGGGGAGAATGGAGCCCCGAGCAGAGACGAGACCGGCGATGGCGCCCTCTGGAGGAGGAGGGAGCACCTGCCTTCCTGACAACTCATTTCTCGCCAGACCCTGTGGGCCCCACCCATTCATTCAACAGTGAGCCCTGCCCTGCTCCAGGCTCCAGGGAGAGCTGTGGACACAGGCCTCCTGGCCCTCACATCCCAGGGGCTCCCTCCGGGGCTTGACAAGATCGCCCCACTGTGCGCCCCACTGTCTCACAGCCTCGGCCTCGGTGCAGATACATCCTGCAGAGGCTCTCCTTGCTGTCCTGCCTCAGTCATGCTGGTCTCCCATTGGCTCAGGCTCCTCCTGGATAAAACAGAAATCCAACCCGCCCTGGCCCCACGGACAGGCTACACTGTGACTCAGATCACTCTCTTTTTTAAACCTGGTATGGCCTCTTGTCAGTCTCCCCACAGCCCACAAGCCTGCTCCCTGTGCGCCTCTCAGACTCGCCTCCGAGCACCCCACCTGCTCACCACCTGTAGCCACGGCGTTGTGCGGTCTATGCATCAAACACACCAAACTAGCCTGGCCTCCGGGCCTTTGCACTTGCTGTTCCCTCTGCCAGGAACTTTGTCCCCAGAAATCTGCCCGGCTTCCTGCCTCCCTGGCCTTCTTGTCATCTCTGCTCCATGTCCCGTCTCCAGGGAGGCCTCCCCGATAACCTCCCATCCCAGACCGCATCATTCTGTTTAATTGTTTTACTGAGCAGTCGTAACCTCTCTGTACCTCAGTTCCCCAACCGCAAAATGGAGACCATGATGGCACCTGCCTTGGGGGAGTTTTTTTTTAAATTAAAGTTTTCATTCATTTATTTATTTAGTCAACAAACATTAACTGAGAACCTATTATGTTCCACATATGGTGGAAGATGTTGGATGATAAAAGGATGAGTACGTTCTATTTCTCTCATTTTGAAGACTTACTCTCCTAGTGAGACCAATATGTGAACTGATAAATTAGAATTCATTATGAAATTCGCAAAGGTAACTTTGGGGACGTAGATGATGAGTGATCAAGTCGGGTTATTATGGGCCACCCCCCCACCAGCTTCTTTGAAATATAATTGACATATAACATTTTAAAAATATATATTTTTATTGATTTTAGAGAGGAAGGGAGAGGAAGAGAGAGAGAGAAACATCAATAATGAGAGAGAATCATTAATCGGCTGCCTCCTGCACGCCCCATTCTGGGGATGGAGCCCACAACCCGATTCCTTGACCGGAATCGAACCCAGTACCCTTCAGTCTGCAGGCTGATGCTCTATCCACTGAGCCAAACAGGCTAGGGCGACTATAACATATCATGGAGTTTTTTACAGGTAAAAGTGAGTTACTCTAGGGCAGTGGTTCTCAACGGGGGTGACTTTGCCCCTGGGGGACATCTGGCAACGTCTGGAGACATTTTTGGTTGTCACGACTGGCAGGGGGGCTCCTGGCATCTGGTGGGGAGAGGACAGCGCGGGTGCTCAGTGGCCCACAGGGCACAGGACAGCCCCTGCTGTAAAGAATTAACCAGTTCAAAATGTCAACAGTGCCCTGGTTGAGAAGCTATGCCCTAGGGCAAGCGTGGGGGACCGTTTTTTCTTCCAAAGGCCATTTGGATATTTATAACATCATTTGCGGCCATACGAAATCATCAACTGAAAAATTAGCGCCCAGCCGTCATGACTCAGTGGTTGAGCATCGACCTATGAACCAGCTGGTCACAGTTCGATTCCCAGTCAGGGCACATGCCTGGGTTTTGGGTTCGACTACCAGTAGGGGGCGTGTAGAAGGCAGCCGATCAATGATTCTCTCTCATCATTGATGCTTCTTTCTCTCTCATCTACTCTCTGAAATCAATAAAAATATATTTAATAAAAAGATCCATGCATTAAAAAAATAGCCTGCTGTATTTTGTCAATCACTTAATTAACTCACCCCTAGTGCCTTGGCAGGGCCAGACCAAATGATTTCGCGGGTCTTATACGGCCCTCGGGCCAGCCATTCCCCATCCCTGCCCTAGGGCATGTTTACAACAGTCCCTGGCCTGTAACAAGTGTCCAAGAAATGTTAGCTGTTGCTGTTGTCCACTACCCTGTCTCTGGTGTTTGGTCCAGAGTGGATTAATCAAAAAACACTTGATGTATGAACATGAAGACTGAGTGATATAGTGTATCCCTCTGGACCAGGCATACACTAGGTGCTCAATAAGTGCTTCATTAATGAGTGCACGTGAGGAGTAAGTGAGATGGTCCACTCGCCAGGTCTGTCTCTGTGTTTGTCATTCAATGGATATTTCATTAGTTAATGCATGCGGGGAGTAAATATCTTCGGAGCCTGGCACACAGGAAGTGCTCAATCAATGTGTGTGAAATAGAGGAAGTGTTTGCCCCGGGCCCAGCACGTGGTAGCTGCTCAGGGCACGTGAGCCTTCCCACTTCCTCCCCCAGCACCCAACACTCACCGGGCACCTGGACCTCAGTCTTGGCCCGCATGGTCCACGAAGGGTTGATGTGGACCTCCACGTGGTAGGTGCCGCTGTCTCTGGGCTGGGCGTCACGCAGCAGCATGGAGCCATTGGGGAAGCCCACGATGTCGCGTTGCTCCATGGCGCTGCCATCTCTCTGGGGCCGCTGTATATCAGGGATGTAGGTGAACAGCCTTGTGCCTCCATCTGTCTCCTTCCCCAGGTACCAGATGAAGTCTTGGAAGGTGTCTGGGATGCCCTGGACAGACAGGAGCACGTCCTGGTTCTTTTGAGGTTGCTCTGGAATCTTCTGGATGCGGAGGGCCGCCCAGGAGCCTTGGGGGAGCCAGAGGGCCAGGACTGAGGCTGCGGGGAGTTTCGGGGAGGCCTGAGATCAGAGGTGTGTTGGGCAGGGACCATAGCATTCTCTGCACTGTAAGTCCTCATCTGAGGATAAGAACTCTCTCTGAGTGCTGTTCTTTGGGGACAGTGCTGGAATTGATTAGTAATGTCTGCCCTGGGTTCAGGAGTGGAAACCTGGGTATGGATGCCACAGATTTGCCATTCCATTGGTCCAGAAGGTTTTCTGTCCTGAGATGCTGTGTGGCCTGCTTCTAAGCATTGGGAGTCTCTGAATTCATTACTTCATCCATCTAACGCAAGCATGTCAAACTCGTGGCCCGCAATTGATATTTTTGCAGCCCAGCCAATATAACTGTTTGTAAGAAATGTTTTAATAAAAATTTTGTATCTTAATTTTTACAATATCCTGTTATACCTAATCTATCTATATAAAAGGCTAATATGCTAAGTGTCCTTCCCACCTTCTGACTGGTTGCTATGATGTGCACTGACCACCAGGGGGCAGAATGCAGGAGTTGCTGTGATGCGCACAGAGAAATGGCCCCGTGGACCTGGCACCCACAAAGCAACACTCGGCTTCCCCCAAGTGGGACACAGGCCCCACCACCACCCTGGAGTGACAGCCCACCCAATCACAGCCGATGCTGCCGAAATGGTGCAAAATGCAGCCCGCAGCCCAGCCCAGCCCTGAATGGGTCGCTGTGGGTGCCGGGTAATGCCATCACGTAGCAATGCCCAGCTTCCTCTCCCTAGTGAAGACTAGCCCCCTTTCAATTTCTTCCACCCAGGAACACAGGTGGAAACATTTCACACTTTAACCAAATGTCTGTGAAGCGTTTTCCCGTGCCTCATCTCATTTGATCCTCACAGAAGTCTTGGAGTAGGTATATAGGAGACTCAGTGGAATCCTATTTTCTATTTATTAGCCAGAAAACAGAGATTTAGAAAGTTTAGAAACTTGACCAGACTGAGAATAAGTGAGAAATGGTGGACCTTGAAAATGACTTCGGGTTTTCTCACTGTGCAGAATATAGTCAACCACTGCTGCAGTTAAATATTTCACCCTGTGTTCTCCCTGCGTCATCTACAATAACAACCTGCTTCCTGTTGACATTTACTGCTGTGTTGCTGACAATTACCTGAAAGAGAAGTTGGGGTGCTTCCCTGGGCTGGAAAAAGTTTAGCTACATCAGAAAGCAGGTCTAATTAAGCAAGTTTATTCTATATACATGAAAGGCTAAGTTGACTCACACACGTGTGATACATATAAAACTCTCACTGACACCAATCGCACGCATGTGTTTCAATCTGTCATTGTCGATTGTGAATTTGGTTGACACTTCTATTATAGAGAAAGGGCGAATAGTGATATTAAAATATTTCTTCTAATTAATTTCCTTTCAATGTGCACGAATTCGTGCACCGGGCCACTAGTTATTAATAATGAACTACAACGTTCGCTAATGACTGATTACTACAATTATGTTGCTTTCATTTCCCTTACCCACAGGCGCACCATTTCTCTCCACTAATACTAGCAGCGAATATTTTAGCAGCCGATTGTCACGTCATTAGTCTTGGACTGACTTGTTTGGTGTTTGCAACAGGAAATATTTTGCTTCCAGAGAACAAGAAAAATAGGTTTATTGTGTTACACTTATTAATTTGTGCAGTTACTCAGTGTTTGATAAGTTCATGTTCAAGAAAAATATATTAATTTTTATTAAAATGTTCTATTATTTATTTTTTAAATATATTTTTATTGATTTCAGAGAGGAAGGGAGAGGGAGAGAGAGATTGAAACATTAATGATGAGAAAGAATCATTGATTGGATGTCTCTTACCCCACACTGGAGATCAAGCCCACAACCTAGGCATGTGCCCTGATTGGGAG